TGACATTTTGGTGAATTCAGGGCTCACTCCAAGGGCATGTGTAGAACACATACTGTAACTTTTCTCCTGATTTTTAAAGCTTTAAAAAAGCCAAAAAAGGGTCAAGAGTCCAGCTTTTAAAATATGTACTTGTAAACCCAATCTAACCAATCTCTTATGGATGAGGACACTGTCTCTGTTTTGTCCTTATCAAATAATATATTATGCATCTGTATTTAAATTTTTACAAAATCACATAAAGCAGCTATTCTCAAACTATCTGATGTGATAAGCCAGCAATTCTCTCCATCATGTGCTGGGCAGCAAGACTAAAGTTTTGCCATATTATCATCATACCGGGCATCACTTCTGAAAATGTGTCTTATAGAAGATGGTGCTCATGGAACAGCACTGGTCCACAGAAAACAACTTTAAATAGAACGGACATGAAGTACTTATTTATTTATTTAAACTATTTGTACCCCGCCCTTCTCAACCTGCCGAGGGGGACTCAGGGCAGCTTCTATTCTAGGGATATGCAGTAATTTAGTTATTTCCTTTCATCCCTTCAATCTATCCTCCAACTGCCAGAAGATTTTTAATGAATCAAACAGCAATATGCTACTTCAAAGTTTCTTGCACAACGTCCTTTATTTCTTCCTTTTAAAAAAACACAACACCATACTTTCATATTTCTAATTTAAACAACATGTTCCTGGAAAGTGTTCAAATTAATGACACTGTTGCAACTAGACAAAGCTTAGAAATATGTAAGCACAAATTGATCTCTCCTGGGCTATGAATCATCAAGTACATAGTTTTTTGGCAAAGGATTAGCCACTCCTGCTATAAAAACATTAGGGACCAAACTAGCCTTAAAGAATAAAGTGATTAGAGATAGAAGTAAACAGAAAATCAGTGACTATGTTGAGATATAAGAAGCTATCTACTAGTCTCATTAAGTATGTATTTGGTTTCCACGAAATATATAGATTTCTACTGATGGGTTGTTACTGGTACTAACTTTCTTCTCACCCTACCAGCTTACTGGTAGCTCTCTACGCTGAGTCCCTTTCACCGCCCTGAGTCCCATTGGGGAGATAGGACAGTATATAAATAAAGATTATTATTATTATTATTATTATTATTATTATTATTATTATTATTATTAATGAGTTCAATTCTGTTTCAGCAGCCAGTTTCTACATGAACACAGAGTTCTCATCACCTGTAAAGGGATATAAACATATTTTTTCAGATGAAGTACAAAGGAATATTAAATCCTCAGGTGATAAAGTGTATTTATAGAGTTGTAAGAGTGGGATATAATGTAATAAGATCCAAAATTATGCAAATGTGTTATTTGTCCTAGGTAAGACCAGTGAGGTAACACTGGTCTTTCAAATAGTCAATTATTATTGATGTGTGAATGCAATAAATCAGTTTTCCAAAAGTCAGTTTTGCTAGGTTTAAAACACTTTTGTCATACATGCAGTGACCATTATTACCATCCATGTTATGTGTCCTGCTGTAAGTAAATGGTTGTTTAAGGTTTTGAGGGGGTCTGTAGGCCACCAAAGGCATGCTTCCCAGAGCTTGTGAGACACCTGTGTTATTCTCCATAATTGAATGTAATTCTCCATAACTGACTGTAATTTGTTCATAATGTGTTTGAGCAGTCTGTGACTGTATATGACAACTATGGATGTTCTGTCACTTTGTGTCATTGATCTGTTGTTGGTACCACATATTACTTTTGCTTTCTTGACTTGTTTCTTTACCTCCTTAGGTATGGATGTTAGTTCAACAAATGCCTATTGTAAATTGAAGAATTTTGAGTGTGTCTATCAGATGCAGTCATTCTTGGTGGAAACTGGAGGTATGAAAGCATGTGTAAAGACCAGTGCATTTCCAATAGAGTATAGTGCTTAGAAGTTACATGGTGCAGTTGGACAGTGTTGTCAAGAAAGTGAATTTGTTGTGTGGATTCTGGAAGCTGGTGCAAATTCTCAAGTGATGGCTTTCCAAATAACTCATCCTAGAAATCATACGTAAAGCAGAGTTAAAGTGCAAATTCTGAGCAAATATTCTTCCAAGTCAGCCATGAAGATATTTGCATACTGTGTTGCTATTTGGATGCCTTGGCAGCACCACTGATTTGGAAGTATGTGTTCCCAAAAGCATAGTAGCTGTAAGCACAAAGCGGCAGAGTTAGGTGGCTAAGTCTGCTGTAGTTTAGTATTCAGTTTGGTATTCTTGACGGTTTACAGTCCATTCTTGTGTAGTATGTTGGTTTATAGGATTCCACATCCATAGCAGCAAGAACACTATTTTCTAGGAGATTGTGGACGGACTGTGTTTTCCTCAGGAAATCAATTGTTTCCTTCACATATCTTCGAGCACTGATACATGTGGTCTGCCGATTGAGTCCATATTTTCAGTTACCCCAGAAGTCAAGATTCTAATGTTTCAGGTAAGAAACATGTGTGCATTTGCTGTGAGCCGCCCTTGGGGTAATAAGGGCAGGATATAAATATAGTAAATAAATAAATAAATGTGTGTATTTTGGGTAGTTGAGAATAGATGCTCAGTTTTGTCTCTTGGGATATGTCCATTTCAATTCAGCTCTGTGTATCAGTGAAGAATTATCTAATACGTGTATGTTGGTGCCTTCACGTTACCTGTCAATGTGTGGCAACCCCTTGAACTTCATTCGGTTTTGATAGGCAAGGAATACTCATGAATAGTTTTACTAGTTCCTCCCCCTGAACTATACACTACAGCACTTGGCATTAGTAGGCAGTATCTTATCCAAGTATTAAGCAGAGATACCCCTGCTTAACTTCCATGGTCAGACAGTATATGGTGCTTTTATGGTATTTAGGTCAAGAATTCCAGTATCTCTGTTGTTTGTCTGTAGCCTTTATTGGCTTCCTGCCTGCCATGACTTCAGTTCACTATTCATTCAAAACCTATGGTCAGGATCTGAGTACTTCCCACTGAATTGCACTGCTTCTGCCAGAAACAGAGATGCACACTTCCTTCTACAGTCTCCAGACACCTCGAAAGCTAGAAGGATGGGAAATTCTAAAACAACAGCATTTTGCACTATGGACAGCAACTCTAAGACGCAGAAGAATAAAAATTATTAATATCACTGGATACAGATGACCCTTGACCAAGAAATATTATGAATGAGCAAATGTAATATTTAACATACACATTAATTAATATTTAATTTAGAACTGTTTTCCTAGTAAGCTGAACAGAGGTAAAAGAATCTGGAAAGAGTTCTGTTGTTTGAAAAAAGTATTTTAGGCTCAAACTTTGAAGAATATATTTTAGAAATAGATGGTGGATTTGCATTAAAGTCCAATCCTATGCATATTTACCAAGACAAAGTCCCACTATATTCAGTAGATTTTATTTTCTAGTATATTTGAGATTGCAGCCTAATCATTTTGATAGCTGCTGACATTCACTGAAGCATGCACTCGTGATGATTCAAACAGGACAGTGTAAAAAAGCTATGTCTCTCTTCAACTGTGGTTTGCAATGACATTTACTCTGCACTTAGCATTATATGATGCATACAAATTACACCCAATACAGAAAATGTTTACAAACTGTGACTACAATAAATTCTTCTGTGCTATGTCAAATAGAAATAGCATGCTTAACTCACAATCTAAAGCCTGATGCATTAACGTCAACAACAGATCCACCCTTTAGCTATGACAAATATTTCTACATGTGCCACTATTTCACTATGTTCTTTCATTTAAGATCATTTTAGCAAGCCTTTTTAGGCATCAGGACATTTTTGTGTAAAAGGCAGAAAGTAATAAATTATTTTCAGAGCACAAGAGCTTTGAAGCATTAATTTCCATTTGCCTCTTCCATTCATCCTTACTACCCATTTTACTTCCCTAAAAGAAAAGGCTTCTCCTACACTTTTGTTAGGGTTTTTTTTTGGCAAAACAAAAATACATTTTAATGTTTTGGGTGTTTTAGTCATCAACACCATCAAATACAAAATTCTTATCCTTTTTACAATCCTGCCCAGCTAATCATTATATCAAGTAGTTAAGTATTATTTATTTATTTATTTGCCATACTTGTAACCTGCTCTTCTCTACCCTAAAAGGGGGACTCAAGGCAGCTTACAATGTCACAATGTCGTGCCTCAACACAATCACCGAAACATTTCAAAACTGCAACATATTAAACAGAGTTAAAACAGATTTAAAAACTTAGAAAACACAACATCCAAGTTCACAGTCTGAGTCCATTCCATGGCCAATTGCACAAGCTTTCGATTAAAAAATACTGCATTGCCTTAGTTTCCAAAGGCCTGCTCTCAGAGCCAGGTTCTAAGTAAGAACGTGTTTCTATTTAAGACCCACTAAATTCATGTAAGGTATGTTTCATATATACCTTAAACACATAGCATGAAGGCAATTGCATTCAATATTTTAAATAATGTTGAATATGAAACAAAGTTTGTATACACTGGACTAGCAGAAAGCAAAGGTGTTACTACTTCAGCCATCAATGTGGATCATTTCAGATTTTATAATTCTAGATAAGGGATGCTCAAACTGTACTTTTATCTTATACCATCAGTTTTGCAACTCAAAAACCAATAATCTACTTGTAACATAGAGCTCCAAATTGATATAGCCATTTTGATATTCCCAACTTTATTATGCACAATGGATGCCAAATAATCAGTGAGTTTCTAAAAATTTCACTTATACATCTCTATGAAATGTATGGAATAAACAGTTCAACATAAAAATAACACTTTATGAATCAAACAGATGTATCAGAAATTAAATAAGAAGGGCTTCATACCAGCCAGACAGAAATAATCAATAATAAATTACTAACAAACTTGAAGGTTGACAGAATTCACTAGTAGGAATTAAATTATCTGCTTCCAAGAGGGATACTTTTAGCAAACACTGATAAATGTGCACAAAGCTGTTAAAAGAGTTGGCAAGTCTGAGTTCTCTTACCTGTCCTGTGACTGCTCCTCATACATCCTCTCTTTCCCCTCTTTAAATAGTCTTATAGCCCGTTTTGACTTTTTCATGAGACTGTCAATATATATCTTAAAATACTCATTTTCACTGAGCTGTGCAAGTTTCTGGTTGTCATCATACTTGCTCAATATAAGTCGCAAATGCTGATAGGTGTCTGGTAAAATATCAAGTATATAAGGTGGGCTGTTCTTCAACTGAAGTTTGGGATTCTGACACAATCTTACCTAGAAGGAAAGAAAAAAATGTGCATAAATTTAACAGATGACTGAATTGACAAAATCTTATTTCATATCAAAAAGAGAGCAAATGGAAGCAAACATATAAGCCATAAAGTCATACCAGGACTGGTTAGCGAGACTGTTAAAATACAATATGAAATTCAGCTTGAGCTAGATTGCTCTTGAAATATTGTTCAAGAATCCTATTTGAAGATTTAATGGAGTTTTTGTGCCGATTTTGCAGTAAGATGTTTTACATGAATGACATGACACCCCATAAATTTGCATTAACATTAAGCAACAGACCTCATGCAATGCTTACTAAATTAACTAAGGCTCAGTTATTTGTTGCAGTAACATACTTTAAATGTTTCACTGTGAGTCTAACAGGTTAAGTTTAGGGTTTTTTTGTTTTGTTTTGTTCTGTTTTTGCATAGCTATGTGAGGCGAAGTACAATGGGTGCTTGCTATCTTTGGGGGTTTAGTTACAGGAACCTCTGTGACCAAAATCCTTGAGCCAGCAGGACTGAAGACCGATGGGTTGGAGGTTCGAATTCAGGGGGAGTGTGGATGAGCTCCCTCCGTCAGCTCCAGCTCCCCATGTGAAGATATGAAAGAAGCCTCCCACAAGGATGGTAAAACATCAAAACCTCTGGGCGTCCCTTGGGCAATGTCCTTGCAGACGACCAATTCTCTCACACCAGAATGACTTGCAGTTTCTCAAGTCACTCCTTACATGGAAAACAAATGGCACCCATTATATAAAAAATGGCAAAATCAAGGTCTGCCTTTTAGAATTAAAAAAGTAAGTCACAAATAATTGAATCCATGGGTGTGGAGGGCTGTCTATTTACTGCTGTATCCACTATCTAGTTAAGCAACAGTCTGCATTTTATCAACTAAGAGTAGAGAAAAAAAATCTCTGGACCACTTAAATATGTTGATAAGATCTTATATATTTATTTATTTCATATATTTATACCCCGCCCTTCTCCCCCCAAGGGGGGATTCAGGGTGGCCTTACAACAAGCACCATACAATGCCATAACACTCATAGACAATCAGCAATACATTAAAACAATTTATTAAAACAATAGAATTAAAACACGCCAGTTAAAAATCAAATCCAAATCTGGGTTAAATCATTGTCACGTTCACTAGTTGAATGCCTGGTCCCAAAGCCAAGTCTTCAATTGTATTCTAAAAGACAGGAGTGAGGTGGCTAGTCTGATGTCCCTGGGGAGGGAGTTCCAAAGATGGGGGGCCACTGCCGAGAAGGCCCTGTCTCTCATCCCCACCAAACAAGTTTGCGATGATGGTGGGATCGAGAGCAGGCCTCTCCTGATGATCTTAAATTTCATGATGGTTCATAACAGGAGATACTTTCGGACAGGCAGTCTGGGCCAGAACCGTTTAGGGCTTTAAAGGTTAAAATCAGTACTTTGAATTGTGCTTGCAAGCTGATCGGCAGCCAGTGGAGCTGGCGCAACAGAGGAGTTCTATGCTCCCTGTACGCGACTCGTGAGCAACCTGGCTGCAGACCGTTGGACTAATTGAAGCTTCCGGGCAGTCTTCAAAGGCAGCCCCATGTAGAGTGCATTGCAGTAGTCTATTTGGGAGGTAACAAGATCATATTCTCCATACACAGTTAAAAACCTTTCAGGAAATAGAACCACCCCATTTGAGTTTTCCAAACTTAAGGACACACAAGTGTAGAAATTGCATCAGATATCATCTTGCATATAGAGAGTAACAAACCATTCTTTCCTCATATCTATGACTCAGATAAAGCACCTGAACTGATTGTCTCGGGTATTTAACTGAAAATATTTTTTCATGAACAAATTTCATTTTACACTAAGGATACCACTAAAGATGTAAATGGAATACTATTTCATATCAAATTACTGAGCAGCAAACTAAATGTACACTTCACAACAAAACTCATAGGAGAAGATTCAAAGCTGTGGGTTGTTGTACGTTTTTCAGGCTGCATGGCCATGTTCCAGAAGCATTCTCTCTTGACATTTCGCCTGCATCTATGGTAGGCATCCTCAGACGTTGTGCATTCTCAGAGGTTGTACCTCTGAGGATGCCTGTCATAGATGCAGACAAAACATCAGGAGAGAATGCTTCTGGAACATGGTCATACATCCGAAAAACCTACGATAACCCAGTGATTCCAACCTTGAAAGCCTTCGACAATACAGTCAAAGCTGTATTTTGAAACCTGACCTACTACTGCCCTTTATTACACTCACATGTATCCCTGTTAAAGAGGAAAACAAACAGATCCAGACTCAGTTGTAAGCCTGTTCTTTTAGTAATACAATTAAAATAGATCAAAGCAGACCATTCTCCTAAGAAGTTAAATATCACCTGATATGAATTACATCTTATCACAGTTGACTCAAATCATGTGAAATATTATCCCTAGCATTCATCAGAATAACAATGACTGCAACACATCTTGAGTTTTTGATGCAAACAGGCAACCTTAGCACAGGAAATCTGATTCAGACTGTACTAGTTACGTTACTTCCTCACGTTCAAAGATAATTACTTTCAGATGCCACAGTCTCAGAAAGCTCTCTACATTTATTGTCCCTCCCAAAGGTCACCTTTTAGACCTATGAAAAGTATATTTTCTTTCCAGTTTAGATTGCTAAATATGATTGCCAAGATGCAACCCCAAGGCACTAGTAATACTTTTACCTTTAACAAATATTACAGTAAATCAGAGTTGTTGTTGTTCATTCGTTCAGTCGTCTCCGACTCTTCGTGACCTCATGGACCAGCCCACGCCAGAGCTCCCTGTCGGCCGTTACCACCCCCAGCTCCCTCAAGGTCAGTCCAGTCACTACAAGGATGCCATCCATCCATCTTGCCCTTGGTCGGCCCCTCTTCCTTTTGCCTTCCACTTTCCCCAGCATCATTATTTTCTCCAAGCTTTTCTGTCTTCTCATTATGTGGCCAAAGTACTTCATCTTTGCCTCTAATATCCTTCCCTCCAATGAGCAGTCGGGCTTTATTTCCTGGAGGATGGACTGGTTGGATCTTCTCGCAGTCCAAGGCACTCTCAGAACTTTCCTCCAACACCACAGCTCAAAAGCATCGATCTTCCTTCGCTCAGCCTTCCCTAAGGTCCAGCTCTCACAGTCCGTAGGTTACTACAGGGAATACCATGGCTTTGACTAGGCGGATCTTTGTTGCCATTCTGATGTCTCTACTCTTTACTATTTTATCGAGATTGGACATTCCTCTCCTCCCAAGAAGTAAGCGTCTTCTGATTTCCTGGCTACAGTCTGCATCTGCAGTAATCTTTGCACCTAGAAATACAAAGTCTGTCACGGCCTCCACGGTTTCTCCCTCTATTTTCCAGTTGTCAATCATTCTTGTTGCCATAATCTTGGTTTTTTTTACGTTTAGCTGCAACCCGGCTTTTGCGCTTTCTTCTTTCACCATTGATTAGAAGGCTCCTCAGCTCCTCCTCGCTTTCGGCCATCAGAGTGGTGTCATCTGCATATCTGAGGTTGTTAATGTTTCTTCCAGCAATTTTCACCCCAGCTTTGCATTCATCCAGCCCCGCACATCGCATGATGTGTTCTGCATACAAGTTAAAAAGGTTGGGTGAGAGGATGCAGCCTTGGCGTACGCCTTTCCCAATCTTGAACCAGTCTGTTGTTCCGTGTCAGTTCTGACTGTTGCTACTTGGTCCTTGTACAGATTCCTCAGGAGAGAGACAAGGTGGCTTGGGATGCCCATCCCACCAAGAACTTTTCACAATTTATTATGATCCACACAGTCAAAGGCTTTAGAATAGTCAATGAAGCAGAAGTAGATGTTTTTCTGAAACTCCCTGCCTTTCTCCATTATCCAGCGGATATTGGCAATTTGGTCTCTCGTTCCTCTGCCTTTTCTAAACCCAGCTTGAACATCTGGCAACTCTCTCTCCATGTATTGCTGGAGTCTTCCTTGCAGGATCTTGAGCATTACCTTACTGGCATGAGAAATAAGGGCCACTGTACGGAAGTTTGAGCAGTTTTTCGCATTTCCCTTTTTTGGTATGGGGATATAAGTTGATTTTTTCCAGTCTGATGGCCATTCTTGTGTTTTCCATATTTGCTGGCAAATGGCATGCATCACCTTGACAGCATCATTTTTTAAGATTTTAAACAGTTCAGTTGGGATCCTGTCATCTGCTGCCTTGTTATTAGCAATACTTCTTAAGGCCCATTCAACCTCACTCCTCAGGATGTCTGGTTCTAATTCACTCACCACACCATCAAAGCTATCCTTGACATTATTATCCTTCTATACAGATCTTCTGTATAGTCTCGCCACCTTCTCTTGATCTCTTCAGCTTCTGTTAGGTCCCTGCCATCTTTGTTTCTTATCATACCAATTTTTGCCTGAAATTTACCTCCAATGTTTCTAATTTTCTGGAAGAGGTCTCTTGTCCTTCCTATTCTGTTGTCTTCTTCCACTTCCATGCATTGCTTATTTAAAAAGTTCCTTATCTCTTCTGGCTAACCTCTGGAATTGCGCATTTAACTGGGCATATCTCCCCTTATCCCTGTTTCCTTTTGCTTTCCTCCTTTCTTGGGCTACTTCCAGTGTCTCAGCAGACAACCATTTTGCCTTCTTGGTTTTCTTTTTCTTTTGGGACGTACTTTGTTGCCGCCTCCTGAACAATGTCTCGGACTTCTGTCCATAGTTCTTCTGGGACTCTGTTTACTAAATCTAGTCCTTCAAATCTATTCTTCACTTCCACTGTATATTCGCTAGGAATGTTAGTGAGATCATATCTAACTGGTCTGTGTATTTTCCCTGATCTCTTTAGTTTTATTCTAACTTGGGCAATAAGAAGTTCGTGATCTGAGCTACAGTCAGCCCCAGGTCTTGTTTTCACCGACTGGATGGATGTCCGCCACCTTTGGCTGCAAAGGATGTAGTCAATCTGATTTCGGTGTTGACCGTCTGGTGAGGTCCATGTGTAAAGCCGT